AAGAGAAAAGTGGACCCGATGTGGGTTCAATTATGGTGTATCCAGGCTTAATTATATTAGATTTCTCAGCTTCTTCGAACATTCTAATCGAAATCCTATAATTTTAGGGCCGTACTATCAAGGATGTACTTATCAAAAAGAGTTTTTCCATCTCACCTATCCTTAACCGAGCCACCACAACTGAAAAATTCGCACTTGGCATCTTTATAAAAGTTTATAAAATAGAAATAAATGAAAGGAAACTAGCTATATACTTTATTTATTTAATATTTATATATCATATTTAAAAATAATAAGAAGGAAGAGTTAATTACAGAGTTCGCATTGTAGTCCATACTCTTTAATTATATTTCCGCAACGAATCATGGGAGTGTTACCAATATATTCCAGTACGCTGGAAAGAACTTTGTTATTTAAAGGTCTATAATGTTATTTGTAGTTAGCCACGAAAAACTGGTATTATCGAGGTTAATAAGTAATGAACAGTTTTTTTCTGCTGTCTTCCATATTAATAATAGCAAGACCAGATCTTATGTTCACATAGGGATTATTGGACACTAAATGCTATCTTAAAAGGGAAGGGTAGATAGAGTGCTGAAAAAAAAAAAATCGAGAATTTAGTTGTTTATAAAACTATTGATAATCATCACATTTCTGTCTTTTGTGGTTGAGAGGTGATTTATATAGTAATAAAACCATGAAAAGCTTGTCTTATATAGCACAAGTAGGAAATTATTGCTTTCCATTTTAGTGGTTGTATCTCTCCAATCAGTAATTTTACTTTCTTAATTACTTTACAGAAAAAGCTTATAACGCATGACGTAGTTGAATTCAGTTTAGCTAACGCGCGATGAAAGAAGCCCACAGCAAAGCAGCGAACGACAAGTGAAGTTTGTGTACCGCCCCTAACGGCTTCCCTGAGGAATTAAAGGCATTAATATGCGAGCGTTGGCAACTCATCCGAGTAGTCACGGCCTTCCAACGCGCAGAAGACAAAATACTTGTGCTAAAACCTCCTTCATTGGCACATCAGGAAAAAGCTGGAGGCACATATAAACTGCCAATGGGATAACAAATTAAACGAAGGATCGGAAGTCGGTGACGTCGGTCGCGCCTCTTTTTGGAAATTTGTTAAGCGAGTTCGAAATCGCGGACGTTCGATTCGACCACCACTTCACAACAGCGATACAGTAGCCGAAAGCGATGAAGATAAAGCGAAAACTTTTTGCTGATCATCTAGCTGCCCAGTGTTCGCCATCCACCCCTTCAACCGTAGACAACGCTCCCCTTGTGCCTAATCTTATTTCCAGTGATCTATTTGACCTGTCTAACACAGACGAGAACAAATCAATTATCAATTTACTACCGAAGCGAGAGGCTCCCGGCTCTGACGGCATCACTAATCCGGCTGTTAAGGCAATTGCCAGAGGCTGCTATGAATCATCTGTACGGTCTCGTCAACTCGGTGTTGGCCTTCGGCTATTTCCCCTGGCGTGGGGAAATGGCGGTGGTCGTGGTGCTACCACAGACGACGCAAATGGCGTCAGTGCCTCACAACTATCGACCCGTCAGCCTTTTGGCGACAACCGGTAAGATAGTTAAAGTAGTTATACTTAATCCTTTGAAGGCGGTTGTGAACGCTAGTGGAATTTTACCAGAGCTTCATTTTTGGATTTCACAAGGGACACTCAACGACCCAACAACATATTCTTCGCCTAACCGAGTGGACGATCAGAGCCTTTAATTTCTAAAAAAGCCTCTGGCGCTGTCTTTTTCGATGTTGAGAAGGCGAAGGCTTTTGCCGAGTATGACATGGTGGCCTGTTATCATGCGAGCTACATGCTTTGGCGGTACCGCGCGGCCTTCAAGAAGTTCTCAAGCCGTACCTAACCTGCCGGTCTTCAACGTGCGAGTAGGCGCTTCACTGGCGTTCGCCTCGCTATCTTACAGCAGGGGTTCCGCAAGACTCTCTTTTATCACCGCTGTTATTCGCACTCTATACTAGCGACATTCTTCTTCCGGTTCACCCTCACACGCGGGTCGCCATTTACGCCAAATAATACGATGATTTTATTTTTCGTCCAAGTCACCCGTTTTACTATGCCAGCACTTACAATTTTATCTTGTAAACGCTTGCTAGCTGACTTCGTCAATGGGACCTCTCCCTTAATGCAGCAAAGAGCAAGGCGCTTCTTATAACGAAGAAACACCATGCGCTGTTGCCTCCGTTAACTTTTAACGGCATGGAAATTCCGTGGTATTTTCAGGTAAAATACCGGGAGGCCACTATTGATTCTTGGTTGACTTGGCGTCCACACGTAAATTACTTGGCGGCGAAGCTCAAGGCAGCAACCCAGGTCCTATATCCTTTATTACACTGCAAAAGTAAACTTTCCTTGTACAATAAGCGAAGCCTTTATGTGCTGTGCATTTCGGTCGATTATGGCATATACATCTCCTGCCTGGGCCTACGACGTATCGGCGATAACCTCATCGCTTCAAGTGCAACAGACCAACTGCTGCGCCTTTCCACAAACGCGCGGTGGTTTGTGCGCAATGAATACACCACTACGAACTACGGACTGAACTGCTGACCCACACTCTTTAAAAAATGATGCCGTCGCCCCCTCTGCATGGAAAGCTTGACGCGCTAATCGCCTACTAGCGGAAGAACTCACTTACGGGTTGTGGGACGGTGCACAGTACTGCCTTCCACGCGACGCACCTCAGCCCCCCACGTCGATTGAAAGCTAAGTGGGGGTTTTAAATTGAACGTAAAGGGCACATGTTAAGACGATAATTTTACTTGCACTTTGTGGAAGGCTAAAAACCTGGTGTGAGAGCTCGGGTATTCGAAGTTGTCAACTCGATCGAGCACCTGTAGAACGCCCTTAGTAAATAAATTCAATTAAGCTATTCAATCTTTTTTTTTTTTTTTTTTTTTTAATTAAAAGCTATATGCTTCTGTCAAGAGCAGGTACTACATTCATAATTGTAGTGTTAGAGATTTATTTTATAGTGAAAGGCCAGATATCTATTTGTTATGCTAGCACGTTCAACTATTTTTGGGCTTTCGCTCTTCAAATTTAGATAGTTTACATACCGGTGACCTGTTTTAAGTTAAAGGAGTGTATACAATCGAGCAATGCTTACTTCGAAGAAAATTATATTTTAGTCCTTTTACAAATATAAGAACTATTAAAAAGTATTTTTTTTTAAAAAAAATATTATTTCATCACATGACTTCCTTTTACTCAATAAAGCAATCTTTTGTTTTTCGGAAGAGCAGCTAACATCTCTCTTTCTCCTGCAGAGTTTATTAAACTAAATATTAATAGTAACTATTTTATTCTACGATTACAGATATGTTTTACCCTTTGCCTACATAATTTTTAATTTAGTCCAATGAGATTTTAGGTGTTGAGTGAGGCTTTAATTTTATTTAAGTGCGCCAAGCTTTAACCTCAAATTTGTTAGAAAAAAAAAAAGGTTTTTTTTTTTTTTTTTTGGTTAATTTAAGCCAGCACGTTTTTGGAAATCTTAAAAAGTCAATTGAATTAAATTGGTCATAAGCAAGGATGATGTAGAGTTGTTTTCTATTTCATACTTCTAAAAGAAGTAAGAGAAGTGAACAACGTATTTTCGCTAATACTAATTTTAATCTTAATCAATAAGTTCCAATTAGTGTGTGTTCCTTATTTTTACAATTAAGACTTCTTCCATATTAATTTTTTTGTACCTTTTTATTTGCTGCTTAAAAATTAAATAAGAAATCTATTATAAAACTGACAGAAAAAAAATTAAACGCTCACACTCAAAATTTTATAACTTCAACCTCGCATTTACTAAAGATGACAAAATTAAAGACTTGATCCTTTTACCTTCTGTAGAGATTTACAGTGTCATAGCTAAATTATTACGTTTCAAAAACTCATTTTCTATAAAAAATAGTAATTAGTAGACGAAGCAAGAATAATGGGGCACCATTGTAACTGAAGTGAGATATTTTTCTAAATATACCCTACTTTACCCTTTTACTAAAACTGAAAAAGGTCACTTCACTTTCATATACCCCTAACCCAAGAAAAAATTTTACATAAAACAAGTAGAAGCGTTTGCTAAATTACCAATACATAAAAGATTTTTAAATAAAGTTATCATTAAAAACTTTTCCTTCGTATGAAGGAGAATACTTCTTGCAAGGTGTTTTGCTAGACCACTGTCGGTATCAACTTCATTAAGCTTATTTTCGCTAAGTTAATACATATATATATTTATATATTTCTTTTTAGAAAAAGGTGTTACTGAAGTAAATCTTTTGAAAGGCTCGCTAATCAAAGGTTTTCAGGTTGGCTCTTTAAACGGTTTATGAATACGAGTACGTCTTTAGGCTACAACGAAAAATATAAAGAGTAGTACGCTTATTAATAACTTTAATGTAGTTCAAAAAATAGAAGAGAACTTTTATTATCTTAGAGGAAAATAAAGCGAACTGCAATTAAATAAGTACTATAAGAAGCCGTAATCCGCTAAGTTGAGTGTGTTTGCGAACAATCTACACTAGAAGAAAAAAGAAAAATATGCAGTATTTTTTTTTTAGGGTTGGCTACTCGCAGCTTTCACTAAGATGGCTTGAAGAAATGGCCCGTGCTTGGCGTCCACAAATTTAGTGAATTCAAGGCTACCTACAAATATAAAAGGGGATAAGATTCAAACATTTTAAAAAAAAAAAAAAAAACTGATGGGAAGGACGGTGGAGCACAAGTGACCTTTTTTTTTTTTTTAAACTAACAAGATTTCCTCGTCATAAAACTACGTATAACTAGTAAGCCTAAGTAAAATTTTTGCTTTTAATATGTCCGGGTTTTCGAGAAACCTTAATAAGAATTGTTCGTAGTATAAAATAACCCAAAGAGGTTAATACGGTATATATATAAAAAAAAAGCGACTGCTACAGTAAACTGTTTTAAAGTCAAAATAACTATTCTTTCCATCTGTTTGCTTATCGTATAGAGAATCCAGAGAAGATTGAACAGTCAAACGACATTGTTGTGAAAACTCAGTAGGATAGTCTAAGAATCTATGATATTCATTAAGTATTTAAAACAGCAGTCCCATAAATAAAAATTAGTACAATGTCTGAGCAGCCATATTTAAAGCGCTTGCAGAGGAAATATCATAAAATAAGTTTTTTATAAAACCGACTATGTGCCATAAATGCTCTTTGGGGGTCCTTTTCATCAAGGAAACTTTACAAGTACTTTAAGTGAGTTAAAGTTAAAAAAAATTTAGTCACCATTCTGGAAAGCTTTCTTTTAATTCAACTTTTCCGGTATAAATATCGACGGCCTGCTAGTCATATTAAAATAAAAAGTTGCTTTCTAAACATAATATTATTACTGGATGAAAAAGCTTTGAAACAAAAAATACAGAAGGAAGCATGGACCCTGGAAAGCTTTACAATTTTATAGTTGGTTTTAAGAAAAACCATTTATTCATGAAAAAGCTCGTATAAATATATATTGATATATTTACTCTTCTGGGATAAGAATGTTGAACCTAAAAATGCCATCCATGTAGTAGCCGTCTCGAACAAAAATAACTCCGTGCCAAACTTTAGAAGAATATTATAGTTTATTGTTAGCACTACTCAACTACAAAAAGGTGACCATAAGAATTTTCAAAAGCAGGAAGGACGTACACGCCGGAGGGGATATTTTGTTGAAGTAACTTGCTTTTTATAATTTAAAAAAAAGAAAGATAAAATTACATTCTAAATACATCATGTGCAAAAGTAAAAAATAAAGCGAGGCAAAGGACACCAACTACTCATGCAACAGGAAATATTCTCGTGAATAAGAAGAAAAAGGACTATTCTGCATATCGTTGTTCTAGTAGGGGATAACTGCCACTTGGGTTCGTACTGAACGAAATTTTATATAAGAAAAAAGCAGTTTCCGTCCGATATCAGTGTAACGGTAACGCTTCCTTTTTAAGCCTAGTTAAAATACTCCAAAATAAGTTTAGTTTTAAGAAAAAAAATTACAGTGGCGCTTGTTACTTTCTCATTCAAATTTTCTCTTTTTTTCTATTGATTTGAAATTTTACATGGACAAAAATACGATCTAGATAGCAACTGCTTCATATAGTTTAATAATGTATAAGGTTTACAAAGTTTCTTTAATTACATTTCTAGTACCCAAATTTTGTGAAACTATTATAGTGTTATATCAAAAATAGTTTCTATCTGACAGTAAATAACAGTTTTTGGATTGGTTAACATTTTGCTATACGAAGAAATAAAGTTATTTAAAGTTAGTAAAAAGATGCTCTAAACTTAAAAAAATATATTAATATGGCTTTAGTGAAAGGTGTTATGAGCAAAAGGTATTGCGAGGCATCAAGTTAACTTAGGCACAGCTTAAAAGCGCGAGTATACACCAAATCCTTGTTTATACGTATCCCTAGATTACATAGTGCTTTTAAATGATTTTGTATTAAAGGATCACAATTATACACGCATGAAGCAACGCTCGGTTGGTGGCAAAACCGTTATATAATTAATCTTGGAACATTTTGAATTAAAAATGTTTTAAACCCTTACTAACGCTAAGTTGTCTCATGCAAAGTGGAACAAACTTGTACTAAAAAAAAAATTAGTTCCTTTGTTTTTAATAAAGTTTTCCAATTTAATTTTTTTAACTGCATAGGTTTGTCTTCTCGTGGAGTAGCAGATTGACTGGGGCGACCAAGTAAAAATCAACTATGAAAAAGGAGGTGAGTCTGACCAACGGTTAAGATAACGGGGTGGTTTACTTTGGTAGAAAAGCGAAAGATGCAAGCAAGTCCAAATATGTATATATATTTTTTAGCACTAGCATGCTACGGCCGGTCTTATACTAAGGCTTTGAAGCCGCTTAATCTGAATTCCCCTCTGCTGAAGGGGTCGAGGCACGAGCGCCCCCCAGTGTACGCTCTTTAGAGAACTATAGTGACTGTCCCGAAGAACTGAATAAGCGGAAAATATTGGGCCTGGGTCCCCGCCATTCGGCCTAGTGTGGGTGGAAAACCGCTAAAAACCACACCACCGGGTGAGGCGGCCTTAGGCACAAGACTCGAGGCCACCTGGAGGGACCGGCCAGGCAGGTCTCCCCGATTATAAGCTCCTCACCAGAAAAGAGGAGCCCTGAGTCCAAGTATTTTATGTTTTACTATCATTAAATACAAAGACTTCTTTGAACGCACATGAAAACTGTAATAATAAATGTTATGCACCGTTTGGTTTTGACTCTTTAATCTTATGTCTAAAAACCTTTAGCTACTATTATAATAATTAATGAACGTGTTATAGTTTGGAAAGTAAGAAAACAACAAGTTGACGCACTTTCGATTAAAGTGATTGCCTTAGCACTTAAAATGGGAAAGTTGGGCCAATGTTTTTCTTTTTTTTCAACACCTTGAGAATGTTCGACATTTCATAGCCTTATTAGTCAAGGCTAAATTTAGAAATTTAGACAACTGCGTAAACAAACCTTATTGCATTATAAGGTTTAAACTACCCATATATACTTGAAATTCTGGTTTTTCAGCTCGTGGAGTCAATTTTTTTCAAGTCATATTATACAGTCACTCGGCGCGTAAGGCTTGTTTCCTCCTTTGTATCTTGCTTTAATGCTCTATGTAAGATGCCAACGACTAAATCCCTGACGTCCCAATATCAACCCTATATAACAGTTGACTAAAGGCGCCTAGAACCTGGCCATAAATATTTTTTAAAGTTATGCAATATTTAGTACATAAAGTATTTTTTAGACCATTAATAATAATAACAGTCCTTTCAATTTTTTGCTAGAGTAAAAGGTTCAAGCACTGAATCCATAAGATCAACTTTTCTCACGTAATGTTCAACAAATTTGAGTTAATTATACCCAGTAAAAATGGTGATCAAGTTTGACTCCATTAGTCCTCTTTATAGTTTAAAGTATGACATCAAGTCATATAAATTAGTAACAGTCCTTGTGATTTTCTGCGAGAGTAAGAGGCTCAAGCAATGAATCCAAAAAATCAAATTTTTTCACTAGGCACTCATCAACTACCAGCTCCTTACACTCGATAAGATGATTAAGTTTGGCTTCAGTAAACCAATTAATAGCTTCCTCAGCGTGACTTTTATCCGCTAAGTTTGCAGTACTACCATAATACAGATAATTAGTCTTAAGAGACGCTCCACATAACGAGTCTACACCCTTTAATAGAGGTACTACAGCTTTTTTCAGAAAGGTGCGAACTTGAATAACATCATCAAGTCCGAGTTGTAGTAGGTTTATGGCATTAACTCCCTTTAGTATGCACAAAACATCTGGCGTTCTCACGCCTGTCAGTGCAGTTTGCGATGTTTCTGCTTGCAAAGAAAAGGTTGCGCTAGAAACTAACAACCACATAATAACTACAATAAAGTTGTAACAACTTATGCGAACTTCATATTCAGTGTCATGAAATAACGCCAAGCGAAATAACTGGTTTAAACTTTCCAGTTCTTCGGCAATAGACTTGACAGCGTCGAGTAACATAGTTTGGTTTAGGAAACAATAAAGGCATCGAGCGCCAGTAAGCTTATAGCTGTTTGGTTCTAAAAAGGAAGATAGAACCTCGAAGCAACTCAGACGGATATGGAAGTGAGGCCTGCTTTTGTATATTCCTATAATGTAGTCTACGTAGTAAGCCATATTGCTATACTTAATATTTTTGGGATTAGGAGCGGTATTATTATTATTATTATTCAAATAAGCACTTTTGAGTCTTTCCAAAAAATATTTTCTAAAAGATGGGGAGGGAATCATTGCCAACGAAATAGTTTTTAGAGCGTCCTTCGCCACGTAAAAATTTTCATCTCTTCCGCTGTCTACCAGTCGGGTCATTAATAAATCTTGACTGCCTTCTTTAAGTATATAGGAAAACAGATCACTGTCTTTCTGGTTTTCAGCTAGATTGTCACGAGGAATGCACGTGCAACCAAGCACCTCTGGTGGAGGGAAAAAAGAAGAGTTGGGTCGCGCAGTGTCGGGCGCATCACAAGAAAGACTAAAGAGCTGGAGGAACTCAAGAAAAGCGTCGCGCACTTCCCAGCGAACATCTACCGACCAATGGGAGAGCACAGAATACAACTTCTGCCAGCCTGTTTCTACAGAAAAGTGATGCACAGCGTCCTAATTTTATCCATACAAAGAGATTTTTGTAGGACGGCGACCTTCTCTGGCAGCAGCACACTTTTTCAAAAGAGTGAACAAAATAAGCGAAACGCACTTATAGAGTGCTGGAGGGAGCGCATGTTTTGAGGATAGAGCAACGATTTTTTCCCAAGCAACTCGCAAGAAGTCCTCGTAAGCTCCGCTGTACTCGTGCTTTTGCGAAATAAAGCAAGCTATGAGCTCCAGCGATTTCCGCAAAAGCTGCTCAGAACAATGACGCGCTGCGCTGCAGTAATAGTCGATGATGCCAATGGGGACGCGCAGAAAGCCGCGCTGGAGAACAAGCTCGGGGTAGCACGTGGTGAAATGGTAACCGCTCTCCAGCACGTGCAAGGCTACGCCCGCCATGCTTTTGTCAAATGCGCGTGTCAGCATTCCGAGGGGGCCGAGCAGCGTGCAAAACGTATCAAATACTCGCGCGTTAAACAGAGCGGCATGACCCGCATAAGTCGTCTGCCCACGTGTTGGTAAAACCGATAAACTCAAGAAGGAAAAAAGGTTGGCAGTGCCCACGTGGTGTGAATGCTCAAGAAGGACGGAAGTTTTGTCCTCCCAAAGCCTTTGCAGTCTAGCGCAGGAGCTGCAGTTTTCTATTAAACGAGGGCAAAAGAATTACTAAGAAGGAGGGGGCCAATATTAGAGGCGCGCGCACCGTATAGAAGTGCGTATGAGCACGTGCTTTCGCCCAGCAGGCATTCCACGGCAAATGCCCACGTGTTCTCCTCTACCAAATGTTCCAGAACTGCCAACAACTCGGCCAACTCGTGTAGTCTATTAATTATTAATTTCGTAAATTATAAAAATAATTTTTTTTTTTTTTTTTTTTATAAAATTACAAGCAGCGAAGTAACAAAAACTATAAAACCTCTCGGAAAAATAAAGATTCATCACTGAAAGTAAAAAGCCTGAACTGCTTAAATAATTTACAATAAATTTTTTGTCCGCAAATTCGCAGAGTTTCCAGAGCCAATTGAACATCTTATAGTTATTACAGTTAGCAATAAAGCTAATAACTTTTTTTTTTTTTTAATAAAAAAAAATTAAATCCTCTTTATGAAATTTATATTGGTGGCAAGCAAAGTTCTTAGGATATAACTGTGATTAAAAATAAGAAATTATTTAAATTATATAAGCACGGAGAGGCTGCCTCCTTTCAAACGCTCAAATAGAAGATTCAATAGCTGAGGACTACCAGAAGTGTATAATATCTATTAAAAAAATAAAAAATAATATGGAAGATTAATATTCTAAACTTGGAGAAATGGAAAGCTTGAAACTTAACGCGCGCTACAAATTCTGAAGAAAGTTTTGCAAGATCCAAGACGGGATGCTTAATAAACTGAAGGCTCCATAAAAGAAATGTTTCAAGTCTCGGTGGCGGAAAAGCTTGTATAAAGATTTGAGCCGTTTGGCGGCGCAACAAAGAAATATCATTATGGAAGCGAAGAAAAACTGAGTTCAGGCAAATTAATAAGGACTCTTTAATTAGAGGATCCTGAGTTAGAAAGCTTATGAGGGTAAAAGTATAATAACTAAAAGAATATAACTATAGCTTCGAAAGTAAAACCTTTTCTAAATACCTGTTAAAAATAGGATTTTCTACGAAAGTTCCAAAACACTGAAGGCATATAAAGTGACCACTCAACTTTAATAAAAGGCAGACGGCAGTGACTTCAAGAGAGCCCAAGTCTAACTTAAATTATTACCAAAAGCGTTTTGTATAGAAAGAGTTGGCAAGCAAAATAATCTACAGTGAGTAAACGCAGTAGTTCTTTATCTATTATGGTGCAGGCAGTGTCTAAACAAAAGTAAGTTTAAAAAAACAGTTAAAAAAAAAAAAGCTGAAGCATAAAAGTTAGAAGAAACTTTTCTCTCTTGCCAACTGTGAAGTTAGCCAATCTACAAGAGCTTCAAAGTGAATATCATCTAAAAATTTTTTCGAGATACTAAATAGTAAATTGAAAACTTCTTTGATTTTAGTTTCTTCTCCTGACGTCATTCATATAAGTTTAGAACCAAAAACAAGTTTATCTGTACGGGTGAGTGTTGCTAACCCCCCCCCTCCCCCGTTTCCAAGTAAAACAAATCAGTTCTGTTAGGATTATCGCCCATGAAACTTGTCTCGCTCTGCTTAAATCGCGGAATGGCACCATCATTAGACAACGCAGACTTCTTTTGGACAGCTTTTGAAAAATATCGGTTTGGTAACTTACTGTTTATATTCATAGAACCTGCTATGGTATACGTTTAGCTGGGATTCATTTTTATATTTAAGTTTTAACCATTGGATAACCTTTGTAAAATTTATCAACTGCTGTTACTAACTTCAAAGTTAAACTAATTGTGAGTACTTAGATATATGTATAATATATATTCGTAAAGAAAGTATGATATATATATATGACTTCTCCTTGTCTTTGCTAAAAAGAGTTAGCTAGTAGTAATAATTCAAACATATAAACAAGCCTTTGAAGAAACTGCAAAACAGCTGGCAGACGTAAGTACGTCGGAAAAAATAACTAAGGAAAAGTTGCAAGGGTTATGGGAGACTGTAATTCAGGTGCCTATTATATATTTTATTTACTAAGAAAGATAACTAATGGTCTGATAAAAATACTATAACTCACAGTTGACTTATTAGATTGAAAAACTTTTTTGTGAAGCCTCACTTTTTTTGGCTCCATATGAACTTAAAAGAGTACAGAGGGTTATTCAAGAAACGCGTAAAACTTTTGAAGAACTAAAATCTCTGAAGTTATCAAAGTACGCACTAAACCCTTTTATTTTCTTATTTATGGGGGTTTTAGTTTCTAAGTAGTTTGGGTAAGTTCTCCTTCATTACCTTTGTCAGCCATAATTCTCTAGCAACGGGGCTCCCCTTCACTTTATTTATTATGCCAGTTCATCTCCTCTTATTATATTACTTCCGGAACTATTTTTTTTTATTAAATTAAAACTTTATTCGCAGATTTTCAGTTTTGTTCACGTAATCTTTTAAGTGTTGTGTATCTTTATTTTCTGCGAGCTTTGTGTTAAGCCTCCTTCCGTTGAGTGAAATATTTATTATGGGAATATAACATTCTCTTGCGTCTAGCATTTTTTAGCCTGTCAATATTTTTTCAAACTAAAGAAGTTCATCTAATAATATACAGTCAGTAGTCTCGGTAACACTAAATAAACATACTCCTATCCATCTTCGAATACTATCAACAATTATTTTTCTTGCATCAAAGGTGCTTCTAGAAAAAACCTTAAGTCATCCAAGCACTATTGCTATATAATAATTGCAGGGTTCTACGTTTGACTGTGCAAACCAGTATTTTTAAATTTTTTTGTTTTATGTTTTAGCCAAGATGCTTGGCTTATTCAGTTGCATAAATTGACTTACATAACAAAAGATTACCTTTTTCTAGGTTTTTATTACTAATAAAAGCAAAAGAATGGAATTCGCATAAGCGTTAGTGTAGTAAAATTGCAACTGCGCCTTCCTTTTTGATAAGCTAAAACCAACAAGGTTGGACAGTTTCTTTAAATTTAAAAGGGTTGGTGGACACATATTAGTTCCTTTCAAAATGTTTTTAAGAAAATTGAACCTATCTTTGTAATCCCATCATTGTTTACCCCGAACGCTTTAGTTTTCTCCTTAGATGGTTCTTAAGGATTAAAGTCTACAATATAACAAGTATATTAACTTTAGGGACAACAACCTCTTCTTTCATCAGTGTCCATTCCCGATCTAAGAGCGCTTCTTCTGGGTTTGTGGGAATGTAAACATCTTGTGCCAAAAATAGCAAGAGATTTTGATTCTTGTCCTTTTGCTTTGTTGATCGCTACACCGTCTTCTCTTATTTCATAACTTTTTTTTTCATTTTAGTATTAATAATCTTTTTTAAATTCTGCTTATGTTCTTTAAGTTTAAGTTAATTTGTTGCTCTTGTCAGTATAGGAACGTTATTAGTAGCCATAAAAGATTTATTGCCACTTTCGAAAGTTTGGGCAGAAATATATACTGAAACATCTTTTTAGCTTCAGTTTCAGTACAGAATAATATGGTCGAACAGTGAAATTTAATTGGCGATTTTAAATAATTATTCATAACTTTTCTATCAGAACATACTTAGAAGCTTTGAAAAATTAACAATTTCTTTGTTGGTAATTTTAAACACTCCAACAGACTCCTTAAGTACTAACGGAGAGCCCGAGCAGTAAACTTTTTTAAGTGCGATTATTGGACAGTTTTTTTTCAGTCTAACAACTGTTAAAAAGGCCTGTCCATTTTGCTAAGTTTCTTCAAGTTGGGTTTCATGTTATACATGAGCTCCTAAGCGTTAGAGGTTTATTTAATAAGTAGTGCAGCATACTGCATCGCTTCTGCCCAAAATTTAACTTCTAGGCTGTTAATAACATCGCTATATGCTTTTCTTTATTATTCCATAGATTCTCTCAGCTAATGGGTTGAGCGATGGTGTATTGAGCGCCATTAAATGAGGATGCCTCGATACTTTATGCATTTCTTTCCATTCTTTTGAGGAAACTGCAATCCTACTTGTAGTGAAGTTTTTTTTTGCTCTTCGAACATAAAAATGTGGAAGGTTGATACTGTTTGGGATAATTGTATACCAGGCTAGGTTTATTTGTATCCCTCATCTGTGATGGTAAGGTGTGACCTGTATTTTCCAATAAGGTTAATGAATAAGATTTTTAAGTTTTTTACGAGAACCATTTTAAAGCACTCTTGATTGAGAACTCTTAATTTATTGAGATCAGCAACTCCCAAAAGTAGACTCTCACAGATAAGTGCTATTAATGTCGACAATTTTAAATTAGCTGTAGTAAAAAAGATTTATTTATTTAGGAAAATTCATTAAATTTCTTTGACCCAAAAATTTATAAGCTAGATTCCTCTAGTATAACATGGCTGTATAATATAATACAGGAAAAAATATTAATTAATTGGTGGTCGCCTCATTATTAGCCTAATAACGTTATGTTACAGAGCCAAATTTTCACGATTATGGAGCCCAGTTTTATAGAAGAGCATAATTTAAATTTATGAAATTTAGCATTATAATTATATGTTAAGTGAAGATTAAATAAATAATAAATTATCATAGAAAAATTTGAACAAAATTCATGAGTACGATTCCAAGTCTTATAATTAAGTATTAATTACCATCTTACTATCCAATTCTTTCGCAGATTGTAAAAGGTAATCAACTTTATGAATAGTCTATCGATTCAAGGGCTCTTAATATTTCTACATTTGAGAAAACCGACCCACAGGGGTCATTGAAAGCAACTGAATAACTATGAGCTGATGATTCTATCAAAAAATACTTTAAGAGAGTCATGCGCAGGTACACCAATAACAAGATTTTGTTTTTAAGCCTTATAGTTTTGAAAAGTTGAAGTTTTGTAATTATAAATACCCTATATACACTAACTAGATATCAATGTTTTAAGAACGCAAAGACAGTTCGCTTCTTTTAAACATTAAAATAATGAGGTGTAAGTTTTAAAAATGTAGATAACCTAAATATGCCTAGTATTTAGCTTGATTAAGCATGAACTTAACCCATTATTTTTAAATTTATACAATTACCTTAGAATATGTTTGTCACTATCCGCGCAGAAGGTTTTGTCCCCTCTTGATTCACACGTGGCGTATAGGGACGACTTGCATGTCATAATTAAAGGGTACAAGTTACCTTTGATGTTGTTACCACCTACTTTTGGAATAAAGTTAAAGTCGACCTAATTCTACAAAAATGATAGTATGTTAGGAAAAGGGTTTGTTAAAGTATTAAATGTTGCTGAAAAACCATCTGTCGCTAAAGCTATTTCACAAATACTTTCGAAAGGAAAACTTTCCTCCGTGCGTTTTGCTCCAGTTTTTTCTATATTAAATATTTGAAATTTTCTTTCTGCAGAGAAATGGCCTTTCAAAGTATAACAGAATATATGAGTTTGATGGTTGTTTGTTGCAGCAAAGTTGCCACATGCTAATGACTTCTGTTTGTGGTCATATTTATGAATTCAGTTTTCCAGAGTGTAATAATTTGTTTAACATAATCTATAAAAAATTGTATTTTGAAGTTAAATTTAATAAACATATATAGCACATAGAGTATGGAAATCTGTTCCACTCGAGTCACTTTTTGAGGTGAATTTGATTAAGGCAGTTATTAAGGATAATAAAAAAGTCTTAGAAAATATCGAAAAAGAATGCAAAACATGTAACTGGCTTGTTTTATGGACAGATTGCGACTCGGAAGGTTTAAAAACTGTTTAATAACTGAAATGTATTTCTTTTATGCGTTGAATTTTAGGAGAAAATATAGGAGGCGAAGTGAGGGACTTGTGCCTCCGCGTTAATCCCTCTCTTTTAGTTTTAAGAGCTCATTTTTCATCCATTACTTCGAAGTTATATCTTATTTAAGTTTAAGATTTAGCTAAACTTTAATAATCTCCTTTTTGAAACTTAAAAGTAATTTTTTTTATTGTACTTTGGAAGAGACATTAATAATTCCTGCCACAATCTTACATCTTTAAATGAGAACATCATTCAATCCGTTGACGCTAGACAGGAATTAGATTTAAGAATAGGGGTTGTGTTCACCAGGTTTACAAATATATTTGTTGTTAGGGTCCCTGTTTTTCACGTAAGCTTCACGTTTAAGGTTCCAAACGTTAAGGATTCAATCCAATTTTAAAGAGCTCAGTGATAAAGTTATAAGCTATGGTAACGCTGCCATAGGGAAGCTTTACAAAAATTACTTTGTAAGGATTTATAGGCCCTTGCCAATTCCCAACACTTGGGTTCGTGGTTGAACAGTACAGAAAAATCGAAGCATTCATTCCTGAAAGATTTTGGAAGATCTGTATGGAGTATAAGGAGAGCGACAACACTAAATTGAAAGCGACTGTACATCTTTTGTCTCCTTTACACTTTTTTTGCTTTTTTAAGTGAGCGCAATAGTTTAACTGGAAGCGCCACCGACTCTTTGATGAACTTTGTTGTCGGAGTTTGTACGAGCTCTGCAGGGCGAGCAACAAAGCTACCATCACTTCTGTACCTTCCCCTTGCAGCTGCCGCTCATTCTTCCCTATCTAAGCTCTTTCTACATTTAGATTCGCTCCCAGGCGAAGTCCAAATGGCGCCCTCTTCCCCTAACAACTGTTGAACTGCAAAAAATGGCCAGCAAGAAACTGAACATAAGCTCCCAAAGGTGCATGGTGGTTTGTGAAAAGCTCTATAACCGAGGTTTCACCCTTTGCTCCTCGGTATGTGGCTGCTAAGCTTGTTATCTTAAGGTTATCTGAGCTATCCACGGACAGAAACAGACATTTTCAGCCCGTCCGTGAACCTCCATACTCTTGTTAGCATGCATGTAAACAACTTTAGAGCACTTTTCCTGCTTGAACACTTCTTTTTAGTATTCCTTGTACCTTGCCAGATCGGCCACAGCGACTATGGAGCTTTTGCTGCTAAACTTGTTGAAGTAGGTGCACCCCCGATATTGCCGCGGAAAGGAAGACATGATGATCAGTCCCACCCGCCGATTCATCCAACCAAAGTTTTTTTCATTTTTACGTCTGCTCCTTCTGTACTTCTCATGGTGCACCGCAAAAAAGGTGCCTAACTTTTCTGAGCTGAACCGCGAAGAAGCCCTTTTATATGAATTTATTACTCGTCACTTTTTAGCAGTTTGTAGCGCAGACGCTAAGGTCTTAGGTCTTTTCCCTGCTGTCCTCGCCTCTTACGTTCTCACGGGGAGAACAGGGCCATCAAGTTACTGTTTGCGCTGATATTGGCGGAGAACAGTTTGAGGCTGTCGGACTGACCGTATTAGAGTACAATTATTTAGAGGTTCGTCGGGTCCCTTCGAAGCTGCTACATGCGCTGTGCCCTCACCTTAGAGCCTCAGGTGTACAAGTACGAGAAGTGGACGGAGGCCGAATTACCCAACTTTGAGGAGGGCCAAACTTTCACGCCGAGTAAGCTAGAGATGGTTTCTGGCTCCACTACTGCGCCCTCTCTGCTGACAGAGGCAGAGCTTATTAGCCTCATGGATGCCAACGGCATCGGCACCGACGCCACCATCGCTGAGCACATTGCTAAGATACTAGCAAGAGAGTACGCCATTAAAGGTCAAGCGCACGTGACCTTTCGTGCTTGTGCTGTAGCTTATGCTTTACTTGCTCGCAGACAGAAACAAGCTCTTTTATCCTTCTACACTTGGTCTTGCTTTGGTCACCGCCTACGATAATATGGGCTTTTCACTTTCTAAGCCCCATCTGCGCGCTGAAATGGAGGTAGTTTTGCAGTTTTTGCGATAATGATGTCGGTATGTGCGACTATTGACACAAAGGCGGCCGTGAAATGCGTTGCCCAGGGTAAGAGCTCTAAACAAGAAGTGGTACTTTTGTTTGTGGTCTTGAAAAGGCTTTTCCCTTTACTGTAAGCACCCATACACTTCAGATTACTCGTGTGATTCGGCAGTATCTTCAGATATACGAGCAAGTTAACCGTAGCGTACGTCTACTTAGTCTTAGCGTCATGGCCACTTCATCCCTTTTTTTTCTTGCAGGCCGTCGAACTAGACAAGGCCCTTTCTATCTATTTCGGCGCCGCAAATGGTGGTATCGTCGTGCTCTTTTCAGTTTTTTATTTTTATTTAGTTTAGTCGATTCTACGTTTGCAGATGATTCGCATTTTTACGCTGCCGTCCCTTTTCAAGACTGTTCAAATAACTTTTGTCTCTATCACTTTATATCGCCTTTTTATCTAAAACCAATATGGGTCTTTGCTTTTAGCTACTGGCTCTCAAGAAAAGTTGGCGAAAGAAGTAACCTCTGGCACATATTTGTAAGTCGAGGAGATTTTCGTGCCCCACCTGGCTTAAAATTACGTCGTTTTTGCATGTCTGAAGTGCCAACCATTTAAAAGCAGACTTGAGAGGTTCCAACGAGACGCCCGCCCCTCAAAAGACCATTTACCAAACTCCCGCTGCCTTTTCACTTCAAAGTTCTTTTCCTAAAAACTGTATTAGTCGAGGGCCCATTATTTAAACCTAAAGTTGCAGCGATTAGTCCGGCCACACCGTCCCCCTCCTCGGGCGTGCCATTATGTGATTGCCAGCTCCCAGCATTTAAGCGCACAACCCAGAAGGATGGTATTTATTGCGCAAGCTTGCGCGTATAAGAAATAAGAGTGACCTAACCTTCTCTCTTTAGGGCCTAACCAAGGGCGCACGTTTTATGCCTGTTCCAAGAGGGCCGGCGACAGCACCCGCTGCAACTTTTTTTCATGGACTGACATTGACACGACTGGTAAATTATTGGCAAAACAAGCATAACTTAATAGTTATATCGTTTTATCGTAAACTTCAGTGGCTCAAAGCAGCTTCCAGGAGCAGCATTGTCAGTGCAACCCCCAGCAGAAGGCCATTTTGAGGACCGTAGCGAAAACTGGCCCCAATAAGGGTACGCTTATCTAACATCGTATCCTGGAATCTCCATCAATAAAAGAGACCTCCGCATAAAGGCCGCAGTTTTTACACGTGCGGTAAATCAGGGAGGCTCAGCTGCCGCTACTTTGCCTGGCAGGATGAGAGTAATTTCTTTTTTCCTTTATTTTTCTTATCTGTCGTTAGTTAACTTAATTAAACAGTTGAAGAAGTAAAAACCGCCGGTGCACTTGATGGTTCTCGCCACGAAGGCGCGCTCCAGAATGGGCAGAAGATCTGTTACTCCTGCCAACAAGTGGCGTGTTCTTTTTACTTCCCTCCAGCCTCTGCTTAGTACTTTTCCCAGCCTGGGCACTATGCGACCACGTGCCCTTCCAGAGCTAGCAAGCCGAGTCAAAGGTACTTGGGAAAGGGACGCCGCCAGAAATCGTCGCGGCAGTGTTCTCTATGCCATCAGAGCGGTTACCCTCAAACAACAAAATTATTAACAGTTGGCTCGTTTTTATTGGTTTTTGAGCTGCAGGGCACACAAGGAACAGTTGCTTTCTTTCCAAGAAGAGTTATCATGGCTCCCCCAAAGAATCTACGCGTAATTAGAAGGCGAGACAAGAGTTCCAGCACCACCGAAAGTTGCCCTCCTTAAAGAATATCTTGTGGACACTGGCAAGTATATGCCTATCAATAAACAAAATTCTCGTGAAAGACTCGCCTTTGTGAGTTCTCCAGAAATTGCTCAGCGCTTTCTTGATGGTGAGCTGAGAATCCCCCCCCTGGCCACAGATTTTTTATCAAAATAAATTGAACTTGAATCGGCGGATACGGGTCCACTTAATTCCACTAGAACGTAGGGTAGGACTTCGTACACAAGCATCGCTAGTAAAGCAGACTGTTAGAGAGAACGGTAGCTATCAACCAGTCATTTCGCACGCTTAAGAATCAGCAATATACGCTAATCCCATTTCTCATGACACTTCACAAACCGTGTATTTTGTGGCTGGAAGATGCGCATTTGCCTAAAATTGGGCAAGGAAAGGGCTCTTACTGCAGCCCTTTTTCAAAAAGCGTTTCTTTTAAGTTTCTTAAGAGATATATATGAACATCGAGGGGAGTGCAGGTGACTCACAAAAAGCTGTAAGTTGAGACATTGTGAGTTGCATACCAATAATCGCTTAGGGTAGCGGCGACAAGCTCCTTAACCTGTGTTTAGCCTGTTTTACTACTTCAGGGGAGGTGCGTAGGTATCAGCTTCACCTCCAGATCCACATTCACGAGGTAGCGTAGCAAAATTAGAAAGATATATCCACCAGGAGAGTGATAAGTTAAGATTAGCTTTTTCCTAGTAAACCGAATCTCTTCCCGAAGACCAAAAGGAACATTGTGTTAACGCAGTGTCCAAGGTAGATGCTTTGGAAGACATGGAAAATATAGAACAATGCAAAGTTTTCACATGGACTGGATTTCATATTGGTACGAAGTAATTAAAACAATTATTGGAGAGAAAAAGTTTAGACAGTTTAATGGATCAAGTAGTTAATAAAGGCTTGTCTTTCCGAAGCATCTACCTTGGACTGCGTTAACGCAATGTTCATTTTGGTCTCCGGGTATTCGAGAGATCATTTGCGAAAATTATTGAAGATAGGACTTCTTCGAGCTGCCATTCGACCGATTAATTTCTATCTTTATTTGAAACAAATACCTTTTTCATATCTACTTTATCCTTTTTTCTTATATTTGCACTTGTTAAATAACTCACTAACACATCTGTTTCCTAGTCTTCCCAAGGCACTCCACAACAATGTTTAGGTTCGTTAAGCTTACTAAAACCATTTTTTTTTTATATATTTCCATTGTGAACGACCCTGCAGAGCTTCCAAAATGTTCGCTTACGTGTGTCACGAGACACCTGCGCTGATACTAGGCATACTAGTACTTCGTTAAGAACGGGAACAGAAAAAAGCAACTGCCATAGCAATAGGAGGTATTTCTTTGCGTAGATCACCCCTTCCTTCAGGTTTTAGGGAGAAAAGTAAAAATCAGGACTTCAGTAGAATAGAAATATAAAAACAGACTTGCGGCTTAGCGTGAAAATTATTGCAGAAACCAATATCCTCAGGTGGCTATCCGACAGTAACAAGTAAAACCGTTAACCGTCGAAGCACTAGCAAGTTAACTTACTTTTAGTGTAAAAAAAAACCATGGTGCACGTGTCGCAAGCTTTGCCCTGCTCGTCGCCTTTGCAGGCACTTACAGCCTCCAATTTCCTCGACAATATAAGCGCCAGCAGGAGGAGAGAGGCCACCACTTGGCGACCATATGTTTTCAAAGACTGTACAGAAAACGCTGATAGAATTATTGCCAGCAGGCAACCAAAACACCTTAGCACCTTCTCATTTGCGCTCTATATATGCCGTAATCATGGGACAGATGTTGGCGGAGGCAAGCTAAATTTAATTGGACGGCTCTTAGCCTTTCCAGTTCACAGCATGGAGTGCCATTTTCATAAATTGTAGCTGGTAGCAGAAAAGCACAATGATATTTAAAATTTGTACGGTAAAAAATTAGGCGGGGGAGTCAAGCACCCGCATATTCTCTCCATGAATAAAGAGAAGGACGTTGTAAAAAACTCCTGACTGCTTGTTCTTGAAATTCTTTTTCCTCTTTAATAACCACTTCCTAAAAGGACAGTTTTAGCAATATTGGTTAAACCAAAACTCTGCGCGGATCTCTATATGCCTGTCAAGAAACAATTCTTTTAAAAAGTTGAGTTAGTGATGTTATAACGAGCGGTTTTCAATGCAGAGTAGAATGCATTGGAACCAACACGGCTGCTAGGGTTCTGTCGATGTTAGTAATATGTAGGGCAAATACTGGAGAGACTATGCTCTGTAGTTTGTGGCAGGTTCTTGGAGCTGATGCTTGCTACCCCTCTCAGCACTGAAGACAATTTTGGGAGCGGGCAATTATAAGGGCAGCGGCTCAATGCAACAACTTAAAAGAATCAAAGGACCGGCCGATAACGGTGCTTCTCGTTGACTGACACCAATTCTCTAAAAAAGAGGCGAATAACCAAAGAACGTCAAATCCGCAACAGTGAAAAGGACGCTTCGGCATTAAAAACACATCTATACTCACAAATGAATTGAGTGAACGGCTTGATGTCAAAGAAAGTGTGTAGTAGGCTTTCCCTTAAATTGTTTGGTTTAAAAACGGTCACTGTATATACTATCAACCTCCATTAGTCGATATGAAGTGTAAAAGTAGTACGTGCTTGAGAGAGGTAAGGATGAGATAAAGTTTAAAACCTTTTCATTAGACAGTATAACAAGTTTTTAACAACTTTCGGGTTCGGAAAGTGTGGACTGCTCGCATAGAATATAGAGTATCAGTACCTAATAACCATCTAGCTACAAATACTTTTCTCTATGAAACGGTTTGCTAGGCTTTCTACAGAGAGAGCAGCAACGAGCACTAAACCAACCGTACAGTGAGCCAATAAGTTTCTGTAGCTTTATGTATCTTTAGTTGATTTAATGGTTCCGAAACAGAACAAAGGTTTTAAGTTACTTCACTCATTCTACAGAATTTATTGCCAACTCCTTCGTCCGCACCTAATTGCTGCTGTGATAACGGGGTTCTGTAGGATTTAACTGCCTTCATCAACGGGATTTAATAGTGTAGACTGTTGATTTCCACAACTTTTTTTTTTTTTAGGTAAATAACGGGCCGCTCAGGAGACAAAGCTGGCACTCCACGCAGAAGCTTTCATAGCAAGGTTAAATAGTCAAGTCTATTTGTGTGTATTATATTGTGATTTATCAACCAAAGTTAACTTTCAAACGTTTCAAGTCTCGTTAATGAATCTAAAGTCATAATATTAACCATAATGGAAACATCCTAAGTTATAGGGAAGGTTTCACCTGCCTCAGAACTTTGCCAAGGGGGGGGTTTTTTCCAATTTAAAAAGCGCATTTTTCGACACTACCCTTGCGGGTCCCAGAGCTTTCCGAAGTACGACGCAACTGTCACTATAGAGCCGAACAAAGGAAGTTACCACAATCACGCTACATTGGATTTCATAGTTAATTAGCTGTTAGTGTCATAATTGATTATGGTAGGATTGAATGAAGTGTATCGAAACTAACGTAGACTCCTTGGTAGAGTAGAGGGCGAAATGACTCGAGACGTATGTCTTTACATTCACGAGGCACTCCCCCTCCGGATGGCGACCTAGCGACCACATTAGACAGTAGCCCTCGTGTAGCCGCGAGGAATAACCCAAAGGTTGGACGCGAATTTTATATTAGGATTGATCTTTTTCAGCCGCTTTTACGAGGATAGAACCTGGGGACTGAACAGTAATCCTTGCGTCCATGGAAAATATGCTAAACTTTACGAAAAATCAAAAGGTTAGATCCAAGGGCCCAAGCAGAAACCAGGCATTCTGCAAAGTGACACCCACAAAGAGTCCGACCTATGCAATTGCCATTGCTATTTTACTACAAAGGACTTACGTTCTGCGTCACAGTTAATTAAAGGATGATCGCACGTCCGACGCCAAAAAGGGTAAGATAAGGGTACTAAAAATAAAAAGGCTCGCATAGGACGTACGAGGGCATCAAGAGACGAAAAAACGCATCTCTCTTGATAAAAGTGATTCAAGGTGCTTAATTACTGTAGATAATAGCACTGTTTGAACAACCACAGTTCAATAAAGTTAAAAGTGTGCTTCAACCCAGCGAAGGACAATAATTTTAAACAAGTTTCTGAGTTAAAGCACTAAAACCTAGTAGACGATAGTTAATAGCATTATTTTATACAAAATAATAGCACTTTACTGCATAATGGAAGGAAGAAAGTATTATAATATTTATTTTAATTAACTTTAACCAACTTTCGTTGACTTTAGCTAACTTAATTTAATTATGTCGACTTTTAGCATAGAGATTAGCACTAGGATACTGTAGAGACTTTGATTCAATCCTACCTGCTCACAAAGAAACACTAGATTACTACAAGTCAGTAGCAGAGCCTAGGTTAGAAGGACGATTATTCATTTATCAACTAATATCTATTTATTCAAGAAGTAGTTAGAACCAAAACCAAGCTAGTTTCATTTTTAATTTTTTCATTAACTTTATTAATTGTTTAATTTGTTTTAAATAAACCAAGATTACTTCCTAGGCGTAAAGATGATAACTTGTTGGAAAGAGACCACTAGTTTCGGCCTCTCCTATTTTGGTTAAAGTTGAAGTTTATAAGGAGGTTATTTTACTGTGGAAGAGTGTACGAAACTTTACGAAAACTGCTAGAGAAGGCTAACGGTCGAATGCGTTCCCACTAAGAGATTCGATCTCTCCGGTCGCCAGGTTAGGCAGAGATAAATGATACCCAAACATGTTCAACTTGCTGCAGTCACAGCAAAGTTCCGGATGGTAGCACAAGGCAAGCGCACAAGTTGGTAAGGTTGTAGCATCTAAAAGATAAGACACACAGCATTGGCACAGGCGCTAGACCATCGAGAACAAGTTCATTTCGAGTTCTCTATGGCCCTACTTTGGTAGAACTAACTATCCCTCTAGAAAGGATAATTTGATCAT